ATTAAATAACGTTAACTAATGCATTAACTAAGACATAAATAAATGGTTAAGTAATGCTAAATACATGCGTTATTCATGGTTAGTTCATGTTAACTAATGCATTAACTAACGTTGACTAATGCATTAACTAATGTTAACTAATGCATTAAATAACGTTAACTAATGCATTAACTAAGACATAAATAAATGGTTAGTTAGCATTAACAAATGTTAAGTAATGCTTAATACATGCGTTGTTCATGGTTAGTTCATGTTAACTAATGCATTAACTAACGTTAACTAATGCACCCTTATTGTAAAGTGTTACCTAATATTTAATAAATTACTTCAACTTTAAGTAGTTTTTATTTAGGCTACATTTTCTCACTAGACTTAACAGTAGATACCATTAACTGAGAGATCAGGGCGCAAATATTGACAGTCGCACCTGTGCTTCACTTTCACACACATGGAGTCATATGTCAACTGTCTTTACTTGGTAACCTAATCTTAAGTTAAGTCAACTAAAAATAAAACAGTCACAAGACAAGTGTCCTGCTCTCAGCAACTCAAATAACCTTGTGTATGTGAGGGTCATTTGCATATAGTGTTCAGCATAAATGAGTACACCACGTTTTTGAACATTTGATATGTTTTAGCTATCTCTCAGTGAGTATTGCCAATATTTATTAGCACATTTAAACAAAACTGTTTTATTAAACTGTTATGTTCATTAGTATAAGAGTGTAGGGAACCTATGGCTCTCGAGCCACATGTGGCTCTTTGACCAGAAATATGTGGCTCTCCAGCTGTCTTTCTTCAATATTATTTTACCATTTAATAAAATTATAACCATCACTAAAAATCAGTTTCCTATGGAAACTACAATTACAATCCCCTTTTTAATTCTAATTGTATACAGCACAATGAATAAGAACTCAGGTAACAATGAAAGGACGTTTCGATCGATGTGCGTTTGTGGCAATGCGGATAATCTTGAATTGCAACTCTAATAAAGGACAAAAAACCCACATTTATTGAGTGGTGATGGGGAAAAAATACCATAAATGATTCTTCATTCATGGTGATGCTTGATTTATTTATTTTTATTTATTTTTTATTTTTTGAGTTGTGCATGGACATAAATTAAAGTTTTGTTTAAACCTGTGTTATTTATAGTAACATTCTAAATAATAATATAGTATTAGTAGTAATTAGTAGTATTTTATAGCAATACAGTAGTAAATGCATTTTTAAAGTGGCATTTTGAGATATATATATATATATATATATATATATATATATATATATATATATATATATATATATATATATATATATATATATATATATATATATATATATATATATATATATATATATATATATATATATATATATAT